TACAAATTGTAATTTTTTAAAATTCTCAATTTCAAATAAAATTTATTTTTTAAAACTAATATGCCCAGAATAAGTTATATATAGAAAAGAACCACATATTATAAATCTTATTAAAAATGATAGTGGAAATGATAATGTATTTCCTTATTATTACATTCGGATGAAGATTCGTGAATTTGCTTGATATAATGAAAAGTTGGAATACCGTTTGATTAGAGATAGACTTTAAAGATGGTCGTTGACCTAGTAATCATGGAATACGGGATCTGAAAGTGGATTTTTGTCATAATTAGACCTTATTGAAGTTGGAGTAGATGCCAAATTACTCGAATCTACAAAAATTATAATATATCGTTAGTGATAAATTAAGAGGGCTGGTAATCGTACCCCCAAATTTGTTATTCGTACCCCCATGCCGGTAATTTCCGAAAATCACGTTAACACGTGATACTTCCTATATGTGATTGGCTAATATTGCTTTGTGCAACTCGCTTCACAAAATAACCTTAAATGTCACAATTAAAACTAGTTTTTGATATTATGAATCCTGCGGCACAAATACACAAGTGTCATATTAAATTAATGTCTAATTTGACAAAATAAATTAATTGTGGCTTTTCATTAGCGATAAATACTAAAACATTGTCACAGATAAAATTGACAATAATCAAGAAATTATAATGCAGTTGCATAGTTTGATCGACAGCCATGCCTCAATGCCGATCGACGCATATAACAATGATTGAACCAAATTAAATGAAACATGCGTAATTATCATCGCAAACAGACAATTGAACAACCAACACAATATAACCAAATCGAGTATGGTTCATAATTGAAAAGCCCAGGTTTCAAAATGGCGAGATGAAGTTGTAGAAAAAGGAATTATAGATTAAGCAACAAAGTATAGGTTTCAGATCGAATGTTGATAATAAAAATTTTGACTAGGTCAAACTAGCTAAAATTAAATAACTCTAATCTAATATAGCTAACTTTGAATAATATCAAGATTTTAAATAAATCTTTCCTGATAGAATCAAAGAATAATCAAGATATATCAACCAAATTCCAATCAAATTCGTAATAGTGTATGAAATTTAATTTTGATTTATCGTCGATATCTCTTGATTTAGTGATGATTTTAGTATCGTTTGAATCTTCTTATCAAGACGATTCAAATAGTACATCATTGAAATCTAATCACCAGTCAAGAGATAACAATAATAAATCAAAATTAAATTTTATGTACTATTACGAATTTGATCGAAATTTAACTGAATTTGGTTGATGTATCCTGTAGTAAGAAAGTAGAGCCCTAAAATAGTACAATTAGTTAGTAGCTAAAAAATGTTTAAAAGTAATAAAATATTAAATAAAAATCTCATGTCTTTAAAAAAAAAAAATTACTCGCCAAATTATCTTTATGTCTCTCTATAAATCTCTCAAATCAATTATTAATTTTTCTTGAAAGTAAGCATGCTTCCACCACCTATAGACACAAACAATAGTGCCAATGAACTCTTTGAAAGTGTCCAAGCATTTGCAAAATCACAAGGATATGCATTGGTAAAAAAAAGAACTCATTAAGATAAGCATAGTGAATTAAAGAACATGGAATTACACTGTGACCGGGGTGGCGTGTACAATAATTCTTTAGGTTTAACTGAAGAAACATGCATTAGACAAAGTAACACCAGACTAATCAATTGCCCTTTTGAATTGTATGCGGCTAAATATGGTGATTGATGGAGTTTTGAAATCCGTAATTCAGAGAATACACATGATCCTTCAAATGATATATCAGGGTACTCAATTGTCTGAAGACTCACAGAACAGCAACTACACTAGTCCAAATAAAAAAATTAGTATCAGTTCACATTAGTTGAAATTATATTAATGGGCTGCTGAATGTGCTGAATGTATACTGGTAATTGTTGGCATTCTGCAAGTATTCTACAAGCATTCTGCAAGCTCTGCCATTATTCGGCTAGTTGACTGGCCAAATATTGGCAGAATACTAACAGAATGCCAGTATATATTCAGCATATTCAGCAGTATTTCAACTAGTGTAAACTGATACTAATTTTTTCATTTGGACTAGTGCTAGAAACTGTTTTAGCAATGACTGCTGCTGGATCACGTCCCTGAGAAATTATTTCGACCCTTCGTCAAAATGATGAATTAATGTTAATTACTAATAACAATATTTACAATACACGCAAGAAGCTTCGGCAACAAAACTTGGCAGGCCATACCCCGATTTAGGCTCTTATCGATGATCTTCACAAAGAGAATTTTTTATGATTATGAATATGATAACAATGGATCTGTTAATTACTTATTTTTTTGCACATAATGAATCTGTTGCCCTTACCCATCAATATCCATTTGTCCTTCTCATGGATTGTACCTACAAAACAAATAAGTTTAAAATGCCCCTATTAAACATTATAGGTATAACTTGCCTTAATACTACTTTCTTCTCTTGTTTTATCTTTATGAAAAGTGAAGATAAGAATGATTACAAATGGGCTTTAACACGTATCGCTCGCTTGTTTAATGGTGTATTAAGACCTGGAGTTATTGTGACAGATAGAGAGTTAGCTCTCATGAATGCACTTGAAATAATCTTTTCTGATTTAATAAATTTGCTTTGTGCATGGCACATAAGCAAAAATATCTTGAAAAATTGCAAGTCTTAGTTTCCCAAAGAAACAAACAATAATGAAGACAATAAATGGAATGGCTTTCTTAGAAAATGGAATGATATTGTTAACTCTGAAACTGAAGATAATTTTAATATAGAATGGGAAAATTTTTGTTCTACCTATAATAATAAAGCCAGTGTTATCTCTTATCTCAATGAAACATAGATACTATGGAAGACACGATTTGTAAAGGCATGGATGAAAAGAGCTCTTCACTTAGGAACAACTGTAATCTCCCATATTGAAGGCTCACATACAACTCTTAAAGCATACTTACAAACTTCAACAGGAGACCTTTATAGAGTTTGCTCAACAATTACTCTTGCTATAACCAATCAAAAAAAGAAATAGATTCAAGAATTGTATTAAAGCACTTTAATATTCCACTTTTTGTATATAACAATATGTTGTATATGAATCTTAGAGGTCAGGTTTCAATATTCGCTCTTAAAAAAATAAATATGCAGTGTCAGAAAATTATTTCACAAAAACTATTACCACCATGTACTGGAACTTTTTCAAGAACAATGGGCCTATCTTGTGCTCATTACATTCAAACTTTTGAAAATAACTATAGTCTATCGCTTGATGATATTCATAGAAATTGGTGAATTCAAGGGCATACACCAGTACCACAAATCGAAAGTATTTTTTATGGTGAGAATTTACTACAGCCTCTCTTACAGAACCTAGAACAAAAATACCAGAAATGGCCTGAATATCAACAAACAGAAGCCAGAAAAGCATTAAATGATATGATAGATAGCCCACTAATAACTCTGCAAAACCCCAAGTAGTTCATACAAAGGACATTCTTCTGGTGCTCAAAATCGGTAACCAACCAGCTCAACAACAAGAGACCTCTCTGGTTTTGAGTTGGCTAATAATAAGTAAGGCAATGCAGTATTTGCAGACAGCCTGGTCACAATGCTCATACTTGTTTAAATAGAAGTACAGAATAAATTAGTATAGTTCATTTGATTCATTTTATGTAAACAAGTTTATAATAGTAATACTTAGCTTTAAATAAAATCAAGTTCTTATCTAGAAAAAAAAAGTAGTAAAATAAAGTATTGGTCATTTAGATTATTTTATATTCGAAGCAATGCTAATCAAATGTAGAAATCAAGAATAAAAATTTAGCTCAATCTTTATCTCTATGAAATTGAATCTGATTGTTTTATTATTAGCTCTCCCATAATTCTTAAGCGAAGAATATATACAGTAAAATTTCAAGTATTTGAATTATTTCACTCTTGTTCACTCTTTGCCATTCAATTTTTAGTATTAGAATTTAGACAGTATATTGATATCGATATAAGATCAGTTATGTGGCTAAAGGCCACGTGCATTTGCTATCATCTTGCCCGAATACCCATATATCTGTCACATCATGCCAGACAACAAGAATATATCCAGCTATAACCGATCAATTATTTGTTCAATTTCTATATTTTTATATGCTATATATCATGGTATACAGCTATACTGTACAATATTAGAGCATACTGAAAATGTGTACACAGTTGCACTCTGGATACCAGTTCAGATTGCTACTCCAGAATTCAAAATTTCTTAATTATGTAAAATATAGAAAATATGCACAGCACCCTTTACCCTATTTTTTTCAATTTCAGATTAGTGAAAATAGCAATAAAATCTTTGATAAAGCTATTCCTGTTAATCCGAAATTGAAAAAAGCAAGGTAGAGGTTGCTATGCTTATATTTCATATTTTACAGTAATTATTAGTTATTACAGTAATAGACTTACTTACTTATATTGGTTGTAATTTGAAATACTGTAAATTCTTTTGATGAATAAGTTAATATAGAAACTTTTATTTAACAAAAAAAAATTATTTATTATAATAGATTTGTACATTTTATTTAATGAAAGGAAAAACTTTAAAAAACTAAAAATTTAATAATTTTATTCAATAAATTTTTTTATATATAGCAGGCTCTATATAATATGACAAATCTCTCTATAATTAACATGTTTTTTCAGTTCATCAGTTCATTATAGAAAGAGTTAGCAATAATATTTGTAATAATAAAAATAAGATTAAAGATGATTTAAAGAACTAAAAAAAATTTTCCTTATGAAAATACAAACAAGTTATTTAAAAAACTTTAATGAATAAATAAATCTCCTAGAATATATAGTTTGTTGCGTAATTATTAATTTAATATTAAAGAATTTTAGTATATCAAATAAATAAATAAAATTCTTTTTTCTTTTTTATCTTTAATATTATGCGCAAATAAAGATATAAATAGGAATAACTAAGGTGCAGCACAAAGAAAAGTAGACTTTGTAACATAGATCATTATAATTACAATATCTGATATTGTTGATGTTAAAAGAAATCAAGATTTGTTCAACTAAGTGGTTATCGAGACACATTTTTGGTATGCAATATTAGAGTATCCTGGCTATGGCAGAAAAAAAGTTGTTTATATATTATAAACAGCTAATCAAAATAATCAAAATATTGACTACATTTTCAAAATCATCCAATTCAGGAATATCTAAAGTGGAGTAGATTCTTATAATATATTTTATTGAACTAACTTTCAGTTAGAGATATTTTTGATTAAGATTAGATTAGGTTTTAGTATCTATATATAAACAAATTGTCTTTCCGTATTTTTGCTTTTGTATTTTTCAGAATTTTTGCTTTTTTTCTTGTTTAATATTCTATAATTTGATTGGTCAGCATTGCATGTTTTGTTCCACTTTAAATTTGTAGATCATTTTCACTAAAATTTTTAAACATTCAAATATTACAAAAAAAATTAGCAAATTTTCTTTTTTTTTTAACTTTAAACAAAGATTTTCAAGAACCATTGATTCAAATTCGAAAAAAATTTTTTATATTAATTCTGTAAGTTTATAGAATTAAATAAAAAAATAATGAAATTAGGTACATTTTGCAAACTGTGATTATTTATTATCAAAATTCTGTATTCTTGCTGTCTTTTACTAACTTATAATAAAAATATTTTAGTTGTTGCACTAATTTTGCCACAGCAGATTCTCAATTTTAATTAGCTAACTGCTGTGGTCTATAAAATTTTGGCCCACATTATACTATACAATTTTTATATAATTTAGTAGTTAGTTGAAATTCAAATACACCTATATAAGAAGAAAAATAAGCAAGTATAAAATATTTGTAAATGGAAATAAAGAAAAGTACTAAAGGATTTTAAAGATTCAGGTACTATAAAACAGAATACTCTCAATCTCATAACTACTACATTAGGTGTAGAGCACTCTAAATATCAGATAAAAACAGTTTGGTCTTGATCAATACCTATTATTATTATATTTAAATTTTTTAATTTAAAGAACCAACCAATATCATATGATTTATATATAAATATTATATGATTTGACCAATCAGAATTAGTAATTTTTGTACTACCAGAAAAACTATTGTGAGCCCCCAAAACTAAACTACCTACTGTGGCTCTGTATGACATATCGAATATATTGAACATATTAAATATATCTGATATATCAAATATATCGAATATATCTGATATATTAAATATATCAAATTTATTAAACTTGTTGTAATACCCAAATTTTTTATTATAAATAAAGGCTGTAAAGGTCCTAAAAATAATAAGTTCCATTTGCTTACAACTATGGTTCCCTAATAAAAACTATCTAATTGGCCCAATTAACTCATATAAACCCAAGTATCTAAATAAATCGCTCTAATTAACTACCCTTTTACCCTGATTGATCACTAAAGTGGTATAGTAAATAATCTTCATTCATAAATTGACTTGCTTACATGATTTCATAAAAGATTGCTTCTAGTTAATTCTCTACGTACTGAGGACTTCTGTGGTTGAATAATTTCTAACTATCTTGACTGACTGAAGATAGTCATAGTTGTTTTCCAGTTTTCCAACAAATTGTGGAATCTGTAGTTGTGTTGTTCCGGTTTGAGGTCAAGTGGAAGATCTTAGCTATAGTTTGATTAAAATTAGTATAAATAGAAAACATAAATGTTAGTGTGTATTAACAAGGTTAAAGAATAATACATATGTTTAAAATCACCCACTTGCTAAATCTAAATGCCTTTTCAACTAAG